CTAGGAGCTAGCCAATAGGAGCGAAGCTCTCTGGCCAGCTCCATCCCGGTTCCCGTGTGTCCCTATGACTAAAGCGTTTGGTGTTGAAGTCAAATATATATGTGTACATAGACATATAATTGAAATGTTTTCAATGGAGTTTCATGTGAATAGACTAATGCCCTCCCTTAAGCAATAAAAAGAGGATACTTGACTAAAAGTTCTTGTCAAATAGGTCTTTCACTTCCTTGGTCAGAGTTATCCCAAGATATCTTATGCTATTTGTGACTATTGTGAAAGGTGAAGTTTCTCTGATTTCCCTCCCTGCTTCTTTATCCTTTGTATATAGGAGGGCAACTGATTTTTTGGAGTTGATCTTGTATCCTGCCACATTACTAAAGGTGTTTATCAGCTGTAGGAGTTCTTTGGTAGAGTTTTTGAGGTCGCTCATGTATACTATCATATCGTCTGCAAATAATGAGAGTTTAACTTCTTCCTTTTCAATTTGAATCCCCTTGATCCCCTTATGTTGTCTTATTGCTATTGCTAGAACTTCTAGCACTATATTGAAGAGGTATGGGGAGAGTGGGCAGCCTTGTCTTGTTCCTGATTTCAATGGAATGGCTTTTGAGTTTCTCTCCATTCAGTTTGATGTTAGCTGTCGGCTTGCTGTAAACTTTGAAAAAATAAAATAAAATAAAAAAATTTTTAAAAAGAAAAAAAAAGAGGATACATGACTAAAAATCTTGACAAGCACATAACTGGGATGTAGTGGAACCTATTTCTATAGTAGTTTTCTATTGTTTTTCTGAGTAGCTTGGAATGTTCCATTGAGGAATATTAACAGTAGGGTCAGCCCCCAACAAGTTGTGAACTCAGAAGTTTTTCTTTGGCTTTTCCTCATTGTTTTAGACTCACAGTTCTCTTCCTCCACCCCAATGTTGAGACAGCCGGCTTCCATCGCCTCTGAATGGACTAATGGCGCCACACTGCCTCCAGCTTAGCCTTTCTTAAGTTGTGTACTGATCCCATTAGAACTTACTGGTGCTTTTTTCCCTTTAAATTTCCAGTATGACAGCCAATTTTCATTAGCTATTGTGTGTTAACTCTGGCGTAGAGTTCCTGATGCAGAGTCAGAAGCAATTTTTAACCCTCTTCACTATGTAAACCTCTCCACCAAGACAACACAGAATTCCACATTCCACTACATGTGTTATGGATTGTGTATTAGCTAAGTATGTTAATGTGCTTTCTAAGCTCCTCCAGTCTTCCACCAAGGTTCTTGAACTCCATTCTAAGGTTCCTGCATACCTCATATCTCACATTTTTCTACTCCTAGTTATGAGTCCCTTGATCCACAGAGCAGGCTCACTGGCTGTCAGACAGGAGTCAGAGACTGAGATGTGTTGATCTCTGAGGTCAGTATGAGTAGAGGACTGTGTTTGGTCACTGTGCAGCAGAAAAAGCACATGGAGCTGTGGTGTGGTGCCCTTAAAGTCCAAATTCAAGATTTATTTTATTTGTGAAAGTTCAGCTCAATGTTTTTTTTAAAAAAAAAATCTAAAAACAAGTTAGAGAGTTGTCTTAAAGGTTAAAAATACTTGCTCTTACAGAAGACCAATCACACATGGAGGCTCACAACCACTGGGGCTCCAGTTCCAGAGATTCTGATGCCCCCTTCTGGTCTCTGTAGTTACTTCAGGGAAATGCTCATAGGCATACATTTTCTTAAATACCTAACAAGTAGAACTTATCACTTACTGGATTGCAGTAACATTCAAGCTCCTGGGCTCTTTGAGCAAGAGTAAGATCTAAGTGCTGACATTCTTTTCGGGCTCAATGTATGCTAATGAGTTACTTTGCCTCATTTCGTTCCTACAGAAAAGTATGACAATACCTATGTCATTATCCAGTTTTTAGAGAAACTAATGTTAGAAAAATCAGTGTGCTGAAGAACCTGTAGCAAGTGGAGCTGGTATTTAAATCCCAATAGCTGTGACTACAAACTTTGTGGCAAAATGATATAGGCTGAATTACCCATATCAATTCAGTGTGTGAATGTCTGATCATTCACGTATAAACTATGCACTTATTGAGCATCTCTCTCAACATTTGCCATACACCCTTCCGGGTGTGAGAAAACCTGGTACTTGGCCAAATAGAAACCATTCCCTCAAGGAATGCGTCTGCAGAGAGAATGTCATGTATAAAGATGACGCATGCATGACCTGGACAGTGATAAGAGAGAGCTGTGAGACAGACTCACAAGGAAGAAACCTGGTGGCATTCAGAAAGCTGAGGATTTTTCTCTTTGGGGAGTTGAAAGGCTCAAAGATAGGTAGCATTTGATTTGGGCTTTGACAGATGAGAAAGATTTAAACATGAGACAGTGAGAAAATAGGCATTTCCAATTCAAAGGATTATAGAAATAATGGCCCAAAGAGGCTGTAGAAAAGCTTGCCGTGGGTAGCAAGAACAGAATTTCTTTTTTTTTTTCTCGTTGATTCCATTTTGTTTCGTTTTGTTCTTTTAGCACAGGCTGACCTCAAACTCCCTATGTGCCTGTGTAGCTGAGGATGACTTTGAACTTCCAGTTACTCTTCCTCCACCTCACAAGTGCTGGGAGTGCACGTGCACACCACCATGCCTGACACAGTTTCCA